TGGCTCCCGCCCCCCCCCCCAAGACAAAAGTCCAGGAAGTTTAATTACTGTGAAAGAAACGTAAAGAGGTCTGAAATTTCAGTTTCTCTCATTTCTAAGTGACACCACGAAGCAAACGAAAAGGCAGCCCAAGGCCCAGAGGGTGGTTGTGGATGCGAGTGTGTTTGCAAGCACTTTTCTCTAACCGGTTTCAAATGTCCTTCGCTTCTCTCGTTACAGGTCTTCTAAAAATATCAAATATAGATCTTTCCCTCATAATATTTTAAGATACTCTATTTATACATTAATTCTTTCAAAAATAAAAAGTGACACATACAGCAATTCAGTCACTCGGAGTCTTTAAAATTATTACAAAAAGACACGACATCCATCCCCCAGCAGCGTGCGACAGCGTCACTTCTGCACAACAGTCTCTCCACCAACAGGCTGGGGTTTCTTTCACGATTTTCTATTACAAAATATAATCATTCCAGCTCTCGACATGCCACCCGGCCAGCCCAGCTCTGCAGTCCCGCAGGGGTCCTTCTCCCACCCTCCCCCTTAAAAATGACCCAAAATAGCGAGGGATTTGCAAACTCGCTCTGCCAACCACTCGCCACATGTCCATGGAGGCACGAGCATCCTCTCTAGGGCAGGAACAGAGGGGTGGTGGAGCCGAAGGGCTCGTCCTTTGTTTTCTGTAGACCGTACGTTGGCCACACCAGCAATAATGTCCTGTGAGTATGGAAATAATTTATCTTGCACAACCAGTACTGCACAGACTTGGCACGGACAGACTACACGCCAGGCTTCAAGCAAAGAGACCACCTAAAAAGCAACGGTGGGGAGTGGCAAACGCAGCTCCAAAATGGCACATCAGCGGCCTGGGCATTCACGAAAGCATGGATGTCTCTGTGCAATGTGCATTGGAAAAGTGGAGATACAAAACAGCCAGTCAAACAGAAGGAGTGGTATTTATCTGGAGCTGCATCTTGCTCTCCAGGAAGGAAATGCAGGCTGCACAGATCACAGATGTTTACCTTGCAAAAATCTAAATCTTTTTAAAAAAAAAAAAAGTTTGAGAGGTTTGGTCCAAAATATTCTCCCCTCCACCGTGCTGACTACCTGCTGAGTCCTGACAGCTCCTGGCCAGTACCGTGCCCACCGTGCAGAGCACACTGAGCATCTCGCTCTCGCCTGCAAGAGCAGAGCTCTGCTGTGGCACGGCAGGGCTGGCGCCGCCTCGCCAGGGGTGCCCCCAGCCGGCCAAAGGAAGG